CCCCCCCCCCCCCCCCCCCACCTGCCCCTCGTCAGGCATCTTGAACCTCACGGAGTCGCCCCACCTAAGCCCCTCCACCATGTCTCCGTCCGACAAGGCACCCCCTTCCTCTGACACAAGAAGTTCTTCGTCGTCTCCATCCAGATTATTTCGAGAAAGCTCTGAGTTGGTCGGAGAGCATGCAGGGCTGGGGATGCTTGCAGGCACCATGAAGCCCCGTCCAGACGTCGCACTGCGGCTGTGCCCGACGCTGGCGCTTTTTGGCCTCTTCTGGCTCAGGCTGCTCCGCCGCTTGTGGGCTTTTTTCAGCTTCCGCCCGACGGGCAAAACTTTGGATACCATTGACTTTGGGCGGGGCTTCTCGCTCCCTTGCGAGATTCCGTCCTCTAGTCTGATTCCGGAGGCACTCGAACCCTGTCCGGTACCGCTACCGTCCGCTGCCACGCAAGAGAGAGGGGCCGTCAGAGCCTCGGACGGCCAGTGGGCCTCATGCACCTTGGTCGAGAGCGGGAGGAGATATGACATCTTGTCGTGCAGCCGGGGCTTTTCATCCACGTGGACCGTAACCTGGCAACGAAAGCGAGGTTTACGTGGGGCCGGTAGCGCTTTAGAGGGGGTTAGAGAACAAAAAGCTACCCAAAAAAATGACTACATCTGCTTCAGGGGACTCCTGACTCACAGTGCACCTCGCTGCCCTACAGCACCTATGCGTCAGAGGAACAAAAAGAGCAGGCCACGCATACATTCGCGAGTACAGCAGTGTACGCCAGATCAACAGCCAAAGAGCTTCATTCTTGCCCACTCCGACCCAGTCCGACAACAGAGTAGCGTTAACCGCCACTCAAAAAAATGCCACCATACACCGTTCACCTTGGTCACTACGGGAGAAGGGTCCCCGATGGGACTCTCGTTGGGTAGATGCACTTCAAACACAACCCCCTCTCCTCGTCCGTCTGCGCAGAGAAATGCCCCGTTGACGCTAGGATTGCCGCTGTTTTTCTTCGAGAAAGCGGTCAGGGCATGGAAGTTCTTCCTAGTGTTGTATTGGCAACAACCAAGCAGAAGGAGCGGCGCAGGGCACGGGAGGACAGTTGCTCAGAAAGAGGCAAGGGCAAGGAGGGCCGGACGTTCAGATATTGAACAAGTCGATATTGTATTCAAGCAAGCCTCCTGTCGTCGCCCCCACAGACGTCGCAGCCCGGCAAAGAGTTGACATTCACAAACTGCTGTCCACCCCAAACTTCCGTCAAAAGACACACGGTGAAACCTCAACGCCTCTCTCCCACCTCGTAGACGTGCGCCGCTTCTTGATGTTCTGGTCCTTGCTGCCGTACTCGACCGTCATGATCTGTAGTCCGTGCGTGCTGAACACCACTGCAGGCAATTCGTTGTTGGCATCAAGTTTCAGCGGCGCCAAGAAGGGCTTGAAGCTCACCGCGATTTGCCGCTTCGATCCCCTGGACTTCATCCTTAACGATCCGGGCAACAAGTGCCCCTGCATAAGACGCAGATCCGGCAACGATGCAAGGCAAGCATTGTTTGGCCACGCCGTGGAGGAACAAACAAGCAGGGGATCACGGTCACAACGAACTACAGCAGCCCAGGCCTAATGAAAGGTTGACACTGCCGAACGACAATCGGTCGCCCCGGTGGCCTAGTGGGTAGCCTCGCAGCCTGCTAAGGGCCAGGTCATGGGTTCCAGTCCCGGCAGAGAGGGTTTTTTTCTCACTAAATACATCCTGGTCTAGCATGAAAGCGACGCGCTGCAAAGCTCGTTTGTTAGTAAACCATAATCGACTTCGTAAGTCGCGAGGGAAGGGATTGCTGTACCCTCCTCGCGATAAAAACACCTCAAGTATGAACCGCAGGAGGGGGGCCAACCCCCCCCCCCCCCCTATGTGACCCCGGTTGGGTCGTCTAGCTAGTAGAAGTGGAGGATAGGGGCCAGAGGGGCAGACGACAGAGTCCAACGATGGGAGAAAAACAAACAAACAAAAACTCGTGGAACAGCAGCTTCTTCCGTAGTGTGACCAACAAATTGGAGTTAGTTTGGGTATTAAGGACCTAAGGACCACCCCCCTATTAGGGACCACTTTTTTCAAAAAACATATCTTGCCGATACCATCGCGGAAAGCCTTTCTGTTTTTTTCTTCGTGTTGCTATGGACCTCACCTTTTATTTAAGACTAACTTTACTCAATTTGGTGGAGGACTTCGTTCTACACAGCATTCTGCGCCAAGTGATGTATGCTTTTTTTTTTGGTGCTGTGTGGTGGCTCAGGCTAAGCCAGGTCATTGTATTGACCTATATAATGGCAGTTTTCCGGAAATGCGTAGGCCACTATGTGGTCTAGCGTTTTGATGCTCCCCACAGACCCAGTACGAGGCAGGTTCGAACCTTGGGGCGTGCATTCTGTTATTTCATCCGCTTTTTTCCATTTTTTTCTATTTTGCCCCCTCGATTTTCGTCCAAATGGGGGCAAAAATCGCGTCTGTATGTCAGATAGAGACCAAATAAACCCGCATGACAACAAAAATTTGCATGGTGTCTATTCTAGGGGTGCTTGCCACGATGCCGAAGAAAAAACGGGCAAAAATCACTTGAAATCTCTTTAAGTGGTGCCCAAAGTAGGTCATTTTTGGCCCAAAAACAGGCAAAAAAACACGGGGATTTCTGGTTTTTGTCGCCGGGCATGCATGTTTTTGTAAATATTGTTTTTGCGGAAATGCTTTGTATTACTACCATAACGATTCTTGCCACAGGAAAAGTGCTGGAAATCATTAGAACGTGCGCAATCACTACGAATTCGAAGTGGTCCTTCATCGGGGCATTTGTGTTTTACCGATGTTTTTCCCCGACAAATGAAGATTACTACGCTGGCACCATGTCATCACCACATGCATTTTTTTTGTTTTTTGTTGTTTCATCGTTTAGGTCGTGTTATAAGCTAACGTTCGATACCTCTCTGTCGCCACAAATCGTCAAGACACCCGAGAACGACCTCTCAGAGCGGGGGCTCCGTTAAGTGGTCCTTAATCGGCACATTTACTCCAGCCACTCACGCCTCGGAGCTAAATAGTTCACGTGCGTGAGAGTCACATCACAACTTGCGTGCCCGCGCAACCGTAGTCACACGGCCAGCGGTGCACACAAACAGAAAGCCGTGTATGCAAACAATGTACAACACAAGGCCCTACATTTCTCACGTTGTCGCTCCACACGTAGTTCCTGTCGTCAACCAGGAAGATCACATCGCCGTAGCGCACTATGTCCCCGTCCTTTTTCTTGTTCTCGGGGTCAACGGCCTGTGACGCAAGACGTGCAAACAAGGGGGAAATACTTCAAGCCACAGTACAGAAACACCCAACAGGTGTCCAACTGGCACAGGGATTGGTGACTCCGTGACAAGCGAACTACATTGATGAAGGGGCATTGAACCAAGATCTTAGCAAACCAGTCAACCATTGGTTAACCAAAAACACCTAACGGAGAGGGGGAGCGAGAGTTCCAGTATTCTGGTGAGCGGTAACGACGGACACATGTACGAAAATCGAAAGCAATACAATCACCGCTGCTCACACCTCCAAAACACCATCACCGCATGGTCAACCTAGTATTGTTCAGTATTATTCAATTACTGCTATACTACCTACACCACACCCCCCATCCAGACTGCTTTCAAGGGGACTGACTGCACAAGCACCACGAGTCTCCCATCGACCCGGAACAACACCAACACCACTGCCGTCTCCGACAACGTACAACGGGACGCGCGTTGCTACGATTGCACACCTTGAAGTGGCAGCTGGTGAATCCCGCGGCGTTATTCCCTTCGGACTGGCTGATCACCGCCACCTCGTTCCTCCTGAACAGCTTCGTCGACACCTTCTGCACCTTCTCCAGCGAACCGACAAAGCCCCCGCCTCCTCCCACCGCGCTTTCAGCTGGGGGACCAGCACCACCTTCTCCCAACGCGCCGACCGAGATGTCACTCCCTCCGGAGGGCCTGTGGTGAACTCTGGAAGGAGAAAGAGGCCGGCATCAACGTTGAGCACCCCAGCGGGGGATGGGGGCAAAGATACGGAGGTCTTGAACGGGTGGTGGGATATGACAATAGCAACGACCGGGGAAAAGAGGAACCGATACTCAGCAAGTCCAGGCACCAGCTCCTGTAAATTTAGCGGGTGATGTAGTGCTCGGCAAGCATCGCCTACGAAAGCGCTCGAAGCGGTTATTACAAGCATTCATGTGCGTACCGTACCAAATGAACATGTGAGGCACACCAACGGTCCAAAAGTTGTATCTACCTACCTGGCTTTGAGCCTCAGCCTGTCGCCGTACTTGAGCTCCGGGGGCTGGGCCGCTGGCACACAGGGCGAAACCTTCACGGGAGCAGCTGGGGCATCCTCAACAACGCTTGATGGGTGTCCCGAGTCGCCCCGCTTGACATGGCCGTGGATGACTTCGTCACTCCTGGACCTTCCAAGGAGAATCTTTTCGGCGTTGAGTTTCGCTTTGCTCGTCGCTTGTGGCGCTGTCACCTCGTTGGAACGCGGGGTTGCGCTTGTAGTGACTGGTGATGCCGGGTTGAAGCTGCTAGTTGCTTGATCGGTGTGGCCCTCCTGGCCATCTTGGCCTCGGCCTTGGGTTTGGTCTTGGTCTTGGCCGTTCCCCGTTGAAGAGGGTGACACGGGCTTGCGGTTGAAGGGATTCTGGAATGGATTGATCGATAGCACGCAACAGCACGGCACGGGAAGGGAAGGCATGCACCCGGCACCTGTTGTTTAACGCACAGAAACGCTTGGTAGTGCTTGTTGAAAAAGGGGCACAGCGGCTTTAACCATGCACACCCGCGCTTCCTCAGTCCCAGGTACCATGTCTCGCGAGTAGCTATGATTTTGGACGCAGCTTGGGGTTCATGCGCAGGAGACAAATACTTCCCTTCCAACAGTTTTCAGTGTTCAAGAAGATCTGGTAAGAATCAGTTGATCACGAACGGCGGTCGATGCCTCTACACAGGAGCCAGCGAGCGAACGGCGCTGCGATGTCATCGTGAAAATCATCGTGACCGCTCCACCCCTCCCCAAACACGGGTCTCTCTTGTGTGGACTGCGCTTGCAACAGCCGTGGTGATTCAGATCAACGACGTACAGAGACGGGGGCGTCAGTAAAGCTTACGAACCTCAAAACGATCATGAAGAGACGGTACTGTTAAAACGAAACTACTGCATGATATCAACGACGAGTCAACTTTTCTCTGCTATCCCTTCTCGCTTACCACACGCTTTGGGGAGGCCGAGCGGCTTCGATGTCTCTCCCTGATGCCCTCCCACCCCCCCTTCGGAGACAGGCTCTTGCTGTTGCTCCCTTCCAACAGCCCAGGCCGGCCTCTGGCCACCTCCGGCTTCCCCTCCTGTTCCCGTGCCTCTGCCCTGCACACGCCGTCTGCCCCCTTTTCCAGTAGATCTTCCTTCCTGCGCGATTCGTTGCCCACGCCCGTTACCGTCCCCTCGAACCTCCGGCTATCGCCCGGACTCCCCGGGTCCGTGAAGCCTCGAGTGATTCGTGGCAGTTGCGGAGGCAGCCCCGGCATCAACATTTCTCCGCTTGTTGTCGGAGAAGGCCGCCGGCTGCTGGTGCTGCTGCGAGGAGGCCTGCCTTGGTCAGCTTGCGGCGGCGGCGACGCCAGCGGGGGCGTCACGGGGCTCGTGCTTGTGAGCGGTACATGCCAGTCTTGGGGCAATTTCCTGTGCCTAGGCGATGAAAATTCGGAAGGAGTTGATTACACCATTGTTGAGCGTATCTGTACGGATGCAAAGTCACGCTATGAGCAACTTGCATGATCGTGTCCTACCGCTCTTACATGGAATGGAATGCCGGAGTGGAAGGATGAAAAGGTGCGCACCAAAAACAAAAAAAAAACGGTAGACGACAGCAGTATGCACCTGGGTCTGCGCCTCGTGTGGAAGTATACTTGGCACGTCGACACGGCTGACCTGATCAAGGCTACGCATCGACAACTTACACGCTATTCACCCAAACAAATGATGGGATCCTTTGACGCTGATTGATCCTTCCTTTGTGTAGTCTCATGGAGTTGCTCATGCGTAGAAGAGAAAAGCCCCACGCTGACACACAAGCGTCCACTAGATTACGGTTGGTACCAAGGCCACACCCTAGTTGGACAGGCGTGTCGATTGAATCCCTGGCCTTCAGACATCGAAACAAATCCACTTATGATTGTCTAGGGAGGTGAAAGTACCGGAACATCGCAGCACACCATGCAACCAATCCTTCGGGTATGAGTGAAGAGCGTTACGCACCTCTCGCCATGCTCCGGCGACGTTGGGCTATTGCCCCAACCCCCGGTGTACGATCTGTCCCCATCGCCGTCGAAATCAGCATCGTGCGCACGCAAGTAGATATTCGCCTCCGACGACCCCACCGACCGCTTCGTGAGCCGCCGGGCCACGTTCGAGAGACCCCTCGCGAGCTTGATGGATCGTTTCGGCTGCCCGGTGCTGCGGTCTTCTCCTTCCCCCCTTCCCCCCCCTCTAAGGTTCGCTGCTACCGCTTCTGCACTAACACCCCCTTCCTCAACGCCAACGCCTGCACCACTGTTGTCACTACCAGCATCGTCCAAGGCGTCGGTGCCAGCGCTTGTATCCAAATCACCGGCATAGTTGGTGCCGTCGGACCCCACGGGGGTGAGCACAAAGTCTCCTTCCCGATCCACCCCCGACAAGGCGCGCAGAACTTGGCCGTCCAGGCTACCTCCTCTCGAGCGCTTGCTGCGGAACTTCTTCTTCAAGCCGGGTATCGGAGAAGGAGGCCTCAGCCAACGCTGGAACCCCTTCTTGGACACGGTATCCCTGACGTGTGGGGGGCGGGGATACGGGGTTAATGGAAGCGTGCTTGTCGTGGGTACTTGAGGAAAATTGCGCAATCTGTGACCTCTGTGCTCAAGCGTGGGGAAGATCGATATGCCCTGCCAAAACTCAATAATAAACAAAACCAACCACCCCACATAAAAAGGGTGGTTCTGCAGCCGCTGGGTCAACAAGCTCGGGGAGAGCGGGTCGTCATGGACCTGTACGACCTCGTCGAGCGCCGCCCGTCCAGGAACTGAAATCGACCCCGTCTCGGGGGACTACACGGACACCCTCATCAACACCTAGGCGATCGACGAGGGCGTCCAGGTCCACGCCGCCCCGCCCTCCCAGAGCTCGTTGACCCAGCGGCCGCAGAACCACCCGCATCGGCGACAGGAGGAAAGAGGGAGAGCCCCGAGGGGACACCACCCGGGATCTCGTGAAGGAAAAGTCGTGGATTGTGAGTTGGTCATTTCCAACGGTTCAGGAGTGCCGATAAACCCGAAGGGAGGGCTGCTCTCAGCGGGAGGAGACCGGTCCAACTCCTGAGGTCGAATTCCGACCGAGTACCGTACCGTGTGTGACAAGACAGCACACACCCTGGTGATAAGATGTTGGAGTTTTAAAAAGTCATCACCGGGTGTGCTTTCCTGGAATGGGTGTGCTGTCTTGTGTAACCGGTGTGATGTGATAAAAGTGCACGTTGACGGAGCCCGCAATCGGGGGATGTGATACGCCAAGCGGGCTTGATAACAAATTCACCTGCTCCATTCCTTCAAGAGGTGTGATCAATGATGGGGGGGGTGAAAACACTCAGCAGATTCTGTTGTACGGTCCTCTCATGTTGTACGGGCCTCGGCGGACGCTCGCTGTTGAGCGGGCGTTGGCAGCACTTGCGGTGGCAGGTGCTGACGAAGTCTCATCGTTTGGCTTGGCGGCGGGTTGCTACGAGAAAAATGATGTTTTCGCCCGTGGAGGCGCCGGCGCAGACAGACCTTGATGGCACCGTCTGAGCGACGTCACTTCCAGCAGGGTCATATGTCTTGTATACCTCCTCCACCTCCGTTTTGTCCTTGTTTTTGTGCATACTACAGTAGCTGTGTGCTCTGTTCGTGTTTGCGCGGGCTGTGTACATTCGTGCGACCCGCCACCAGCCGCCATAACGAGGCTCCGTGATTATAACTGCGGCGAAACTTTAGGGAATGTACTACCTTGTGTCACCGGTGTGACAAATTGGCTTTTTTTCCAAGACAAAAAGAAACATCACCGGGTCTGCTTTCCTGGAGAGGTATGTTGGGGGTGTGCTGTGCTGATTCACTCACCTTTACATAGATAAATAACGTTGGGAATAGGGAAGCACATGCGACACTCTTGTGAAAAAACCGAGCTTGTCCTACCAAATTCCAAATACAGGATTGGGTGCTCATATGATCTGCCATTTTCAAATGTGAGAACGATTCCCCCAAGAGCCTTTCCGAGGGCCGTTCCGCACACCATTTACAGACATTCTCCGCCGAGCAAGTACCCCCGTCCGAGACAGGAACCGGACCAAATTGTTGTTTTGCGTAGGTCGTCGGAAAAAGCAAGGGTCGACGAAGGAGAATATACAATACAAATGCGTGATTTCGTCTCCCATGTATTCCGCCTACCGGTCAGACTGCAACTTTCGATATCGGCGGAAGCACCAGCCGAAGTCATCAAGTAACGCAGAAGGGAGGGAAGACCAACTAGGAGCTTTATTTTCTTCTCCCGCTGCTCTACTCTGCTGCTGTGCTCGCCACAACATGTTTATTGTTCATCCCCAGAGATAACGGCCGCCCCTTCAGCATCTCGACTGTAAGTTATTTGTGCTCAGTTAAACAATAACCGCGGCTGAGGGTTGCCGTTGGGATAGTATCCTCGTAAACATCTCCTGGCTCTAGGTCGTGTGCTCGAATCTCTCCAGAGTGAAAGAAAAATCGCAGTTGTACATACAAAGCAGGTGCCAAAATGAAGCACAAAGTTTGACGAAGTCGCAAGTACACACAGCAAAGAGAGAAGGGACGGCCACCGCCTCTACGTGAGGGAAGTGCCGTCGGAGAGGACGGTGGAACAAAACAGCAAACTCCCTGATTTACGGTCAGGTGAGCCCCGGGCTGGTGCATGAAAACATTTACAATGACGAAGGTGGTATTATAGTCTATAAATAATAGGCACACAGGACAGACGAAGATAAACAGGGAGTAAAGCATCAGTCTTCGCTTATTTTGGCATGATAATCGCTTGTGTGAGGTGAGCAAAATGGGGGGGGCGGATGACAGCACCAAGATGCGCGTCGTGTTTCTCCTTCTCAAAATCAAGAGTTTTGGGCCTCGTGGATAGAGTCCACACAAGCAAGGAGACACGATTCACCGCCAGAGATTGTGACTGGGGAGTTGCGGGTGGACACATTCATCCACCACAATAATCGCTGCAAAAATATAAACATACTGAACGGCAGCAGCATCGATGGATCAGTGCCAACGATGGCCGGAAATCAGTACAGCAATTGCTCCCTTGGCAAGATTCACCGCTGAGAGAGCTGGTAAACGGATGGTATTTATCTTTCACTAGTTGTCCTTGGATCTCGTGCCTGCAGTTGAACAGCAGCTTCTTCACAAAAGCAAAGGCACCTTATGTTTTGCCCTTGATACACGCAGAATTGGCAGTTGACTGTTGACAGGGCGCAGCAGCGGCCGATCCTACCTCTGCGTCTACAAATTTTCGCCAGGCAAAGTCGGTCGGTGCTCGGTGCTACGAAGCGGCCTCAATACCGTCCGCCGTAATAAGAAGACGCACAGCAACAGTATTTGCACAACACTAGCAGTCTGATTCGTGCCTCAGCCAGCCACGTTCATGTCATTCGTTCGTTCATTCGTTCCGTGTTTGATCTCGGTTGCTTCAATTCGACACCCGAGCCCTCTTTTACTTCCTTATGGGCAGTCACAAGCACCACCATAAATCGACGCACCGATGTATGTACGTACAAACCCGCGCAAACTACTGTGTACAACTCACCTGTTTTTGCTATCTTCACCCTCCGATATCCCGGCCGGCTGCACCTCTCCGCTCAAGCCGCCGTTGCTGCTGGTGTTACTAATACCACCATCTTCTCGTTCAGCACTACTGCTGCCTTCAACTGGGCCTTCGTCAAATGGCCGCACAACCAGTCGAGGTGTCGCTGTCCCGACGTCCATCCTGCTGTGTGATGTGTATGCCGCCAGTACAAAAACGTAAGAGCACCAGAAGTCACGATTCACAGGGAGCTTTGAAAGTGGTCGGTACATGTTGGTGATGCAAAGAATGCAAAGCTGAACCATTTCAGCGTTCACTTCGCCCAAAACGGGAGAGAACCAGCAGCATATGATATATGGATACTTCCTACCACTTGCAAGTAACATGTGGGACATGCTCTATAGCCTTACGGCAGGGATAGCATAGGAAGCGCCTTTCCTTGCACATGTGGACATGAGGACCGCATGTAAAGAACAGACAGCTCGAGTTGCAAGCACCGGACATTGTACATCTCCTGCTCCTGAAAGAGATGGTGGAGGTTCAAGTCCTCCGTCGTATGCATACTGCTGTGCTGTTAGTTGCACCGAATGGGTCCTTTCAGTTGGAAGGAAGGAATCTGGGGCTCGTGTGACGTTTTATCTACCGCTGTCGTCGTCTGTCTGTGGTGCGGATGGAGAATAAATTTTCCTGTGCCATGCGTCGCCGCCGATGCAGCGGCTATGATATCACACGCGAGGGAAACGGGCACGTCTCGGAGAGAAGCCATCAGCTATTGAACACGTGTGCTACGAATATGCGTATGACAAACAAAGAACAAGGCATGACGACACCACACCAGCCATACCTGCCGCGCGGCAATGCTGCTGTGGCTGGTTACACAGCATCGGCGGCCGGACACGCACTCTCTGGGAACAAGAGTGGAAATTGCCCGAAACGAAAGAACTCATATTGCACGATCACCGAAACAAGTTACTGACGACCAGCGGCAGCATCGTAGCCATGCCCTATGAGGACAGCAACAATCAACAAGGCGCCACATGAACAACACGCATGCATACACGCGCAAACGCAGCAGTCTCCGGTTCGAGGAGCAATTCTGACTTATGAGACACGCACAGATAGATTCGCCGAGCGACGGCCAAACTACAACAACTTGCTTGTTCGCTGCACGTGCCCCCTTGCTTGCAGCACTCACACCACCCTCGCCCTGTCTAAGCCAGTACGACTGCTGCTGTTGACACCTCACAAGGGACTCTAGTCGAGGAATGCATCTACTCCTTACTCCCCTCTCTCTCTCTCTTCCTTCCCTGTCTCTCGCTGCATCACCGCAGCACCTGAGATGGGGCCAGAGAAGACACCCAGCTCTACTTCTGCGCGATGGGCGGAACCCGTCTCTCACATCATCATCAGCAGACACCACGCATTCATATCATCACCAACCTGACGACCAATGTGGAGAACAACACCAACGGGAGCGCCGCGCGCGTAACGTGTCTCAGAGGATCCTGGCGCTACGTCCTCACTTTCCTAGGAGCGTAGGCTTGCAGTCCATATCGGTCAGAGGTGTCGCGTACTTTTTCGGCACAGCAGTAGTGCAAAGTCAGCACAGCAGGTCGCCAGTCGCCAGTTTCGGTGGATTTTCTCAAAAAGCAACAATTCGTTGATTTTTCTAGATGTCTGATTTCTGATGTCTGGAATGGTACCTTGATTCTGAAATCTGAAGGCGTCTTTTTGAAACGGTGGTGAACGCGGCATCATTTATTTTTGACTTCCTCCGCCGGTTCTCGAAAAACGTCGAGAAAAAAATCCCCCGCCGGCCGCCCGCCCCGCCCCGCCCCGCTAAGCTGTTCAACCATCACGGGCCACAAATCGCTACTGCCCTCTTATGGTGTCTTTCTCTATCGCAGGAACGTCAAACAATAATGATAAGCTTCGAGGGTGATGTACGTGTAGGCTTGAACTAATGTACCTACTATAAAGTATCTATGTAGCGTGGAAGCATGAATGGATGGAATGTGTGTTTATTATTAGCATCGACCGCGCTGGCCGGCTGACCAATGAAAAAACGTCAGCGCGGTTGAAACAATGAATGTGTGTCTGTCTGTGCGTGCGTGTGATCGGTACCGTGTGTCCAGCGAGGGCAAGTACTTGTGGCAACGATACTGAGCTGTATTCAATGAAGTGTGGAAGAACCTCATACATCTCTGACATATGCATAGAGTATGTTGTGCCATGACGTGATGCTGTATGTCGTCTCCTCTGTGACCCTTCTGGGAAAGTACCCCGCAGGAAAAACAGTCTGCTGTGCAGCCGGTGGTACATCACTCAAAGAAGAAGGGGAAAGTTCGTAGATTTTGTCTGAGGAGACGCTAAAATACCGTCAGTACACATCATCATCAGTTTGCCCTCTTGATAATAACCCTAGCTTGCCTCTATTCTTTTGTCGTTGTTTCGCCGTATGGTAAGGTCGATGCTAACAACGACGAGACAAGCAAGCTTGAGGGGGGACACCACCCAGAGACTACAAGAAGTTCTAGCAGTTCCAAACAGACTTACTTCGAATTTTACTTGTCTTCACACCAAAAACCCGATATTTCATCAACTGGTACATCAACCCTAGAGGTACACGCATATGATGAAAAAAAAAACACGAAACAGGTTGAGACTGCCGATCAATACACATCGCGGAGGGAATGAATGAAGCAAGATGGAGGATCGGAACACAAAAAAAGTCACACAAAGCATGAAATAACTCAGATCGGAGGAGGGGGTTGAATCGTGAGGTAGCGGGCACAGGTAGCCAAATTAAGAGCATGAAGCAGACGCACGAATCACAAGACAATAACAGAGACAGAGAGGAACAAGGGCAAGGACAGTAGTTTGCCAGCGGCGAAGGTGTGCAATTCGCGTCGTCCAACCCGGTCACAACGTCTCAATACGCACGGCTTGTGAGCTCTCAGGGATTGCAAAAAACTTTTTCCAGCAGCGGTAGTGGCCCTTTCTTCGCATCGACCTCTGGGCTTGCTCCTTGACAAAAGGGGCGGTCGACATTACTGCTATTCTTGGTCTGCTTGCTGCTCCATTCCGAGAACCCCGATCTCTGCTCCTGACGTCCTGTTTCACGGCTACATCCCGGTGGTCAGCCACTCCGGCCTGCTTGGGCCGATCAGCCCCCGAATGTCCTTCCGTGTTACCTGTAGCCTCATATGGCTTTCGGTGCTAGCCTCCGAGGGCTTTCGGTGCTGCTGGTGGTACTGGTATTGGCGCTGTTGCTGGTGCTGGTGCTGGCGTGGCGCCGGCGTCTTCCCTGGGCGGGAGACCCAGCGGCTTCAAACCGAGGAGTTCGCGCACCTTGTTGTTCTTCATGGTGTACGTCTGACCCATCTGGAATAGTGAAGAAGGTATCCAGTACATGAACACGCCCTGATCATGACGACGGGTGAAGAGGCGGGGTGAGGGGGTTACAGCTAGTCGCTCAAGCTGTGGAAACCAGATGCACCAACCAATGACGCCACCCACCCATTTATTTGCCGTGTTGGGCAACGCAGGGATATATTTGGAAAGTGAACATAACCTCAAAGAAAGACTACCCGTTCGAGAAATAACCTCAGTCGAAAGGGGTGTGGTAAGAGTCTTTTCAGTTATCTTGTTTCGAGTGAACGTGGAGAATATTGCTGTCGATGGAATCGAGATGTGGGAACGTTCAACACAAAGACATTGCGCGCTTTACACGCACGTCGAAAAAGCTTGATTCAGGCAAAAATGAGCCCTCAATAGACGGGTGCTACAGCCGATCATGGGTGAACTCTGAGGGCATAATCAGAATATTCATTTTGACCTAGGTATTGAATAGGACGGGCGCCCTGCTTTCGGGCGGGTGAATCGGTCTGGCACTTACCGGCCTTCAGAGGACCGACGACGGCAAGACAAGCTTCAAGGCCGACATGTCGTCAAAGAGGTTTTCGCGGATGCAGCTCCCAATTCAAGTGCATTTCGTGCTCTGCAAATAAAGACAAAGACCTTCGCAATATATCAGAAAATTAACGCTAGATGACAGTAATACGCCCGGTCCATTACACTACACTACATTACACCAAGCAACCGCACCAACACCACGATACGACACAAGGTTTCAGGTGGAGGTCAAACGAACTCGCACCACGATTGCGCCGTAGCGCGTCACACGCACCTGAGGGAAAGTGCTGACCCAGGGGAGCATCAAGATGATCCACGTTTGCATCCCGTCTTGAAAAAACTGGCCGCGGTTGCAGATCATAACGACAAAACAGCAGCGTGACCATCACCTCAGAGTAACGCTTTATGCAAGTGATGCCACATGCGGTCCTGGCGATGAACGTTGCCCAGACACAGCGAAGCGACGGGTCATCTGATTCCTGAATAGTCTTGTCCCCCACAAAACGTCCCTAGTGACTCCTGATTTCTCTAAAATATGGTGTGGAATATTCAACCGCCAACGCCAAACAGTGCATCCTGCCATACGGCATCAAACTGTAGCTCTTAAGTCCACCCGTAAGCGTTGATGACTCAAAACCTATACACCTACTGCAAAGAATAGATAGATACCTTTATCCATCCCGTGGCGCCCTTCATCTTGACTATCTCCAAGCTTGTGTAAGTGCACAGCGTTCCAATGATTGGTAGCATGAGGCTTGAATCCGGCACCGTCAGGTCCACAAACCAGAGAATTCCTCCTGGAAGAGCCAAAAAGAGGCAGGGAGAGGGCGTCGTTTTGAACCCACAAACCAGAGATACGAACAGCACCAGAACCGAATAGCAAATGCAGTTTTGAAGAGCGAACAATGACAAAGTGAGGGCCACGAAAGGGCGGTGCGATCAGGTTTCATTTTGCCGAACGTCCAAGACGTGCCAGGCTGCATGCAGGAACAACCAGGTGCTGGTCATCAAACATCAAACCCAGCTTCGTCGCAGGCGCTACCTGCTGCACGACGCTCCATCTCTTCTTTGTCGCATGCAAAACAGATTTATCCAAGCCCACAACACGATGGATAGACTATGTTACATTCCGGCAATACTTGCCTGCCCTATTGGTGTGTAGCGAGCGCTGGTCACAAGGTGCTGTCTACCCCCCGCCACGAGGGTTGGCGTGAACTTAGGTTATATATGAATGAGCGAAGCCGTGTCAAAAACACGGATGTACAGTAACGGCCTCGCCTGTATCCAAGCCCGGCGCTGTTCCATCTCGCAGCATCCCCCGGATCGACCAGACGAACGTAATGAACACCGGCAAGTTGACCAGCGGTGTCGCGAACATCCCCCGTAAGTGGGTCCTTTTACCAAGTTAACCCGAGGGACAAGACGGTGGCAAAAAGGAGTGAGCTGGAGGCTTTGGTCCATGTCTGTCACCGCGACTAACCAAAATCATTGGGTCTTTATTCGCGCTATCGAGGTATATGTGGAACGTCGCATTCGAAGGCGGCGGTTCACGTTTCGACATCTGGGCCTTCCATCGGCACGAGCTACTAAACCTACTGTAGTGTATTCGCGATACATGGAGCCAAGAGCGAACGTAGGGCTATTCGTGTGGATACTCGAGTGCTCGTGCGCCGCTCATCGTCACTGTTTTGTGCAGAAGGCAGATACTCCGTGGCACAGCATGTGTCCCAAGTGCATCTACTCATCTACATCTACACCGCCGTAGTCAGAGAACGAGAATGCAACTGCCTGTGGTTTTGTTTTTGTCTGCAGGTATCGTTGGCTATGCGCGTACACCAATGATGACAATCCTCCGATCGAGCGCTCCAAGAATATGAAACAACATACAATCTGCAAAGCGTGTACGGGCTCCAAACAGCGGCTTCGAGCGAAACCAGCGAAACAAAGACCACCTGCCCTATTATAGACGGAACTCAGCGGGAGTGTTTTCATCAACACCAACCCCCTTCCAGTAGAGAAAACTTAACGTGTACATAGGGAAGCAAATCTGGGTAAAATGTCCGCCTTGCAGCTGACCGACAGCTGGTCCACCACCAACCCAGCAAAAAAGCCGGAGGTTAGGAGAAGTGGGCTTTGCGATCCGAGCTGAACCTCCATCTCCTTCTACTTCTCCTTCTACTTCGCCTTCTACTTCCCTCACACGAAAACAAGTCCTTGCGGTTTGTAGATACCCCGCACTTGTTCTCACCCGTGCAGCCCTAATATCCCGCGAGCGCCCGAAAAGAAGACCTTGTACTTTCGCCATCGTTCTAGCACGCGCTGCTGGGGTATCTGGCAGCGTCGGTGGTGACAGAGGCGCGGTGGTTGGACGAGGAAAATCGGTCGAGACACGAGACCCTGCAGTCGCACAGTTTACAGCAACATTTGGATCCCACGTGACGCGGTCATTGATAGTGCTATGTTTGCTCGGCAGATAACCGCGTTGGTACGCACAAACTGTCAACGCTCGCGCTGCTGCTGCATATGCATGCACACGACGTGAGACATGATGAGGAGAAGCTCCAGGTTTCAAAACGAACAGAGCTCCAAGGACGAGTGTGAAACAATACGGTATAGCGTCTTACGTACGGTGTCATGCTGGAAAAAGATCGCTTGTTGATTTGCGGCCCTTTTGCCGACGGCACTTGTTTGCGCACGAGGACATGTTCGACCAAGTCGGAAAGCTGTAGAAGCAAGGAACAACAAGGCCGTGACGAATGAAGATCTCAGGCAAATCCTCACAGCATCACGAAAAGAGCCAATACCATTGACAGCCCGTTTGCTTTTCGACCGCCGCCCATGCAGAGCTCTCACGTCGAACACTGTACAGCTACAGCAGTACTGCTGTTGACGTGATCGATTGGGCGGCGTTGGGGGTGCACTAACGGTTGTAACCATTCGCCAATGAGCGGGACAAGCGTGAACGAAGGTTCTCGTTTAGTAAAGCTCTGCCACCGGTATTATGCCCATCTACAATAGACGAGATCGATTGCTTGTGCATTTTGGTTCCTACCACAAGAGCGAGACTACTACATAGCAAGGCCAACAACACACACACCTCTTCTAGGGATGTGGCGAGGTAGCTCCTCAAGATCTGTATCTCTGGCCAAGCCGCTCTCATGCGGTCCATATGCCCCGCCTGGTACACCACCACGGGCAGCAGCGAAATCTTCACGCCGATCGTTGCCACGGCAATCGTGGCCCACCAAGGTAGCCCGGTAGTGTGGTGCACGGCCTGGACGCCGGACTGCACCCCGCCCAATACGTGCACGCCGGCGGTAAGCACCCCTTTCAACAAATACATGCCCGCATCGGTCACCAATGGGGTCACGCTAGAAGGGAAGTCGGACAAGAACTGGGCCGCGGCCGTGCTCAACGGCTCTGCGCCACTTCCAGCAGCAATCGCCTCCGCTGCTGGTGGGGGTGGCGGCGGTGGTATCAAGGCAGTCGGGTCGAAACCTGCGGCTTGTGCTGAACCTACTGGTACTGCTGTCTCCGAGGGAAAGGGTGAGCCATCCACGCTACCGCTGTAACCACTGCCACCGCTCGCATGATCGGCGCTGCTGTCAGCGCCACTCCTTTTGTCGTCGGCGGAGAATAACCTGACCACGCAGGCGCAGGAGCTAGGCAGCGGGCGCCGGACCGGCCTGGGATGTCTTGACACAGCTAGACCTCCTGTTGCACGAACGCATGAAAGCATCATCCCTTTTGCGATAGGCTCCTCTCTCTCACACACAAACGCCCCCTTTCCTCCCTACAGCAGGCCAAGTCGATCGCCAGTGTGGAAGCCTCTCGGTCTCTCTGGACGTGTGCCACGCTCTACTGCTGTGTCAGTAGGCAGAGCCTGGACCGCCTATTAGCCGCCTACAACCCGATCGAGCCTCCCCGGGAGTTGTACGAGAATTTTCATGGATTGTTTTTTGCTTGTTCACAGTGCCGTGGCGCAAACTCTCTCCCGCTCCCCTCTCGCTCCCAGTGCGCAATTTGCCAGCTACCCTGCTCTCAGTTTCTCGTTCGCTCGCCACTCTGGCCTCTCATCGATCCCCTCTACCACCTTCCGCTCTGAGCTCTGTGAGTCCTGGTGTGTGCTCTTTGTCAGTGGGCGATAGTCGGTGCATCAGAGGTAAGGGAGTCCGGCATCCGCGAGCATGCGTACTACTGCTGTGTTTACGGTGCTGATATTTGTGGTGTATTCGCTGTTTGCTTTGAGAAGTAGCAAGCCAAAGGTTCGATGCCCGAGACGTCCAACTATCGGGTAGGGCCCTCTACGAGCTCACTTGACAGTGATCCTGTACAATCTCATGACAGGTGCATTCTCCGCCTGCTGCGGTGTCTCTGTCTCCTCTGCTCCAGAGCGACCCCCAACTACAGCAGTAGTAAATGGTTGGGCCGCCTTTATTTTGCCCTGATTTTTGGCGCTCAGCCCTTTTCACACCACTCACGCAGCAGCAGGCCATCTTGACACGTACTCCTGTAACATATGCATACTAGTAGCTTTAGACCCACGCATCACGTTCCTTCTATACCCTTGTTTCGTGCTCTCTGGCCGTTATCGATAGACTATGCCGTAAGTATTTCCGCCACGTTCGCGGTAGTGTTGTAAGTTTCACGAAATATTTTTCGTGTGCTGGAAAACACTTCGAAGTACTCCGGAGTAGACTACAGCATGAGTTTCGATGTGTTGATGCTTCGTGTGTAGTTCGTGCCCCTTCCCTTTAACTATGCACCCTCGGGTTATCCCTGAACAATGCGCGGTTCTCGTGTTGGTGCTCTGCAGCACTTTGATGTCGTCAAGGACGAGGGCGCCGACCTTGCTCACTGGATGTATGCATACAAGTGCTGCTTGTGATAGCCGCGCTGCATGGCTTTGCCCTGCTTGTGCTGATAGCCGCATTACACGGCTTTGCCCTGCTTGTACGGATAGCCGCACTACATGGCTTTGCCGCCCCGTCAAAAATGTTTTCATCCATGCGTTACGCCTGACACCTTACTATCCCATGACGTATCTGTGTGTCTATGTGTAGCCCCTGCACTTCAGCTTGGTAGCATTGAAGAGGTGCTCCACTCATACTCGAGAGACGGAGGCCTGGAGAGCAGCAAAGCATTACATCGCATCGCTTGGAGAACGCAAGGAAAGGAAAGGGGCTGACACGTTGACACGATGGGCCTCGGACAGAGGAAGTCCAAGGGAGGAAAAGGGGGCCACAAGACCAAGAACAAGGAGTACAAGAAAGGACACGCCACAAAGAACAGGTACTTGACATACCAAAGGGGTCACCTCTTTGGAAAAATAAATACAAACACAGAAAGACTACAGTACCCGTTCGAGGTATACCCACAGTCGAACGGGATGTGTTGAAATCTTCTCAGTGAGTGGAGGGAAACCGGCTGGGTACTGGACTTATTTATAGGTTTGTCATGCGTCCGTCATCATGGATTGACGTGTTGTAGTCTGTATGAGTTTGTGTTGAGGGGAAAAAGGGGTTCCTGTGTCAACCTGGGATGGGACCCACGATGAAACACGCAACTCACACGGCTACCACAATCCCCTACAGTAAGTTGGTCAAGCGTCGTTCAAGGGGTTGAAGAACAAGCTTTTTTGACGCCCTGTCCGCGGACGGTGTACCTACGTTTGTACTTGTACCGAGTTTTTGATTCTCGTACCAGCAGCACCCACCTGCCGCTAGGCGTGCGGCATTTTCTGCTGCCGACTGCCGCTTGTAGGCTGCTATGCTAGTTTTGTGGGGTCGGATAGGGTCGGAGCAGCTTTTGATGCGGCCATTGCTGTGTCTACATGTGTACCCTCCTTCCGATTGTGCAGATGGGTGCTGTATTTTCAGTGGCGGTGTTTGTTGTTCCATACGACACCCCTCGTGCTGAAAAGCAGTAGTTCAGCTTCATGGCGGCATCGTGGCGACAGACGAATAAATCCATCATTTGTTGATTTCATCCCCCATTACGCGCATGCGTGCTCATCCCCAACCATCACCCAACGGCCTGACCATGACCGACCGCAGGCGAAAAGACGTGGACCAGATCCAAGACGAGCTAATGGTAGAAGAGGAGAAGGGAGAGGAGATGGTCTTCGAGGTCGACGATGACCTCCCGGGGCAGGGACAATTCTACTGCACACCCTGCGCGCGCCACTTCACCGACCAACAAACGAAGTCCACGCATATCAGGTCCAAGCTGCACAAGCGGAGGTGAGCCGTGAGGCGAGGGTTGGGGTTAGGGATGACAAGGGAGAAGCCAAGACGTTGCCACGTAACGTTTGTAACGGATGGAGGTATACACCATTCCATCATGTCGATACGTGGAAGAGAAAAATAAGTCAGGGCAAGGGAGAGTGGTGAAAAGAATTCCTTGAGGATCTTGCAACACCTTCAGCGATAGCTACTTGTGCACGCGATTTCAGTGGTCCTATCGTAAGCGGCGCGTTTTGACGTTGACTATGCTGTGAGACTGCATCAAACACCTCTTCTATCCCTTGGGCCGACCATTCATTGACCGGTGTTTTCGGTGCGAGATTGCTGAACATCTTGCCTTGACGTGCACTCAATCACGGTATGGTATTGTATCATGTATCTGTCATTCGACGCCATCACCTCTTGCCATGTCACCGCCCGCATATTGCTGTTGACCAGTCTCTGCCGCTGAGTTTGGTAGCTGCAGTGCACAATGTTTTTGGACTGACCGGTAGGAACTAGAAGCTTGCGGGTGTCTTCCTGTAGGCTTATTTCAGTCAAGTAACGAATTGCTTCGCTAGTGTCCCAACGCAGCAGCCTCAATGCTGTCTGCCAGCCAACCTCCCTCCCATATCCACGAAACCAATCGGTAGCTGATCTGAGTTGGAACGAAATCGTCGCGTCGTTCAGTATGCTAAATATTGCCCCATGTAGGCATCCCTGTCCCTATTAAGAACTGTGTTGTGAAATTACCCCTTCTTGGAGTATGAAGAGACTTATGTCGCAGCTGCGGGCGGTTCACGGTGAAACGGCAGCTCATCCAAGCAACAAATCGACCCCACCACCACCGCCCCTTCTCCGCCCCATCCATATCCCTTAGGATGAAAGACGTAGCTCAGGAGCAGTACACACAGGCGGAGGCAGAGCGCGGAGCCGGCATGACGAAGGAAACGTACCCGCCAGCACATGCAGTAAAAAGCGCTCCCGCCGCTGCATCAACAGTACCGCCACCGGACTCGCGGGTGCTGGCAGTAGGGGGAGCAGAGGCCACAGGGAAGGCTGGAGCGGAGGTGGCGACAACAACAGGAGCGTCGGGCATGGATGTCACGGGAGGGGGAGAGGATGAGGATGACCCAGATCTTTGATTTTTGAGTGCCATCATCCGTGTCTTTCTGTGTCTGATTGATATGTTACTTCCTTGGGTTGGGCGGAAATACGGTAGTATGACAAGAGGCTGGTGTCACTGGGTTGCTCTGTGGGCACGCACGTGTAGGGTAAGCGAGCGCCGGGGTCCGTGGAGGCATTGTTGTAGTTATAGGGACAAATGTTTTTTTCGCCGGGGTGTGTCTTGTCTCCGGTAACCAGGTCGATCTACCTTTCTGGGCTCTCTTATGTAGCTCGAGGGTTTCATGTGTTGTCAAGGCTCATTTCGGATCCAGCACGTGTTTGACTATCACAGGGCTGCAAAGCTTGCGATGCCGACCATCACCTTGATGCTGTACATGGGACGATCGGATGTCGGCAGCTCCATAGGATTATTTGTATATACGTCTCTCGCTTGCCATCCGTTGCGAGATTTGGAAACCTATGCGCGTTGGCTGTTTTCTGACTGGAGAGTACGATGGCGACTGTCCTTTCACACCTGGGGGGGTAAGTACATCTCTATCTTTTGACATTTGGTTCTCGTTGTCTCCCGCTGTATGCATACTTGTCTTGTTGGGATTGTTGGGGACATGGGTCCATTTTTGATGCTTGCGAGGCGACTGAATAGTCGTCCCTACTGGTCATATCGAGGATCGAAGGCCCATCGAGGTGCTTGATGCAGCAGCAGATTGACGGGGGGGGGGG